TTACAATGGCCGCCCGTACTTATTTGAGCCCGAGTATACGGATGAGGAGCTCCTACAAATTGAAGAGTAGACAAGGATAGAGGGCCAACGAGCAGACGAGGGTGAAGCAGCGGCTGCACGAACGCGAATCTCTGAGGACTGGTGGTGCTCCTTGCTGTGACTCCATGCCCCCAGAGGAAGAATGTCTGTGTTGCAACGAATGGGACCTGTTGCCCAATATTCATGGTCTCGATGTGTCCTGGGATGATACAGAAACTACCAAACGCTGTGTAACTATGTTAGAGAATTTCCCCCCTCTGATCAACAGGGCAGTGCTGGATACCTTTTTTCATGTGCCCAAAATAAATTGGAGGAGGCGGCCAAAACCACAGGGACCAAATGGTCAACTATCCATCAAGTAAGTATAACTAATATGTCTTTATGCATGTAATACTGATACCTAGAATTGTCTCCGAGACGCACATTTACTGTTGCATACTTTGCCCTCGTATATATCATACCCTGTTTTCTTCCGGCAACAAGCAAAGCTCTCGCGAGATGACGTCACACACAGCCGGGAGGAAGTGAAGTGAAGGGAAACGCTTAGTATGCTATTTACAGAGATAGCACTGGCGATCTGAACTGGTCAGTGGCAAAAAAAAGCACTTTTAATGAGCAAAAACTTATACAGGACCAGCCCAGCTCTATATTGAAGTCACAATATGATGAGACAGTCCAAGAAAACTGTTCTTTTCTCATTATCAAACAATGGTGTTGCAATAACTGTCCTGATGAAAAGCACTAGAGTATCTAGGAACGCTGTGTGACAAAGTGCCCCCCCTTATCCCCCTTCATTCCCCCTCTTTTCAGGACATCCTTCCCCCAATGAAACGCTTCTGATTAGAGCATGTGATTCTTGCTTCCGTACATTCTCTCAAGAATAATGTCCTTTGTTCACTTACACCCACATCTACAAAAACACATTCCCAAATCATCAGGATCCTTTCAGCTACATAGCATTTGTATACAGTGGGCCAAAGCACAGGGCCAGGCACTGAGGTGAACAGGCTGCAGTAGTGGAGTAAAGAGAGTGAGATAAACAACAGAAACACACTGAGAGAACTGCAGTTCAGTGTTTAGCAGGCTTACGGCCCACTAAAGATTTTCAGGAATGGGTTTCATCTTTCAGGTTTCTCTGGATCTCCACAACATTTCTCAGCTTTCATCTCAGCCCTGTTTGACCCACCCAGGCCATTCTGACAGCACCTCAAATAAACTCTCCAGACAGGGTGGGGGGGTTCCCTGTCCAGAGTCCAGTATCCCACCCAGCCTCCTACAGACTGACTGAAGCATTCCTCACTACCTCTTCTGGTCAGGGAGTGGAAGGGTAGATAACAGATACCCCAGCAGTATCCACTCACAAGGTTCTGACACTAGCAATTTACATTTTATGCAACAACCGTTATTTGTGTATAGCACATCACAAGAACATATGGCACAGTAAGTGACCAACAACTGATCTAGATGGTCATGATTACAAAAATAGCCAGACCCCAGCCTGGTGACCACCCTCCACCTGACACTGTGAAAAACTGTTGATCCTGGCAAATGTCCATGTTTACAGGCTGTGGCACACAGACCATTTTGACATTTAGTAATATCAATTATAAACATCTCTAAAGAGCATTACAGTAGAGGAGCACTCGAATACCAAGAATGCCTCACCATGGAAGAATTCTGTCTATTTCAGCCTTGAGATTGAAGGAAACTAATGACAAATTCAACTCGCTGAACTGCCTGGAGAAATTGGAAACAGAAAAACTACAGAACAGCAATGTCTACAGCTGTGAAAATCCGATTTGAAAGCTCTGTGTCTATCTCAAAGAAGCAAAGGCCCTTAAACTCAAAAAGCAGAGCCACCAAACTGACTGCCATGTTTCAAACTCAACAGTAGCAGCCCTATGCAAACACAAGATTCTGACACTAACAACTCTTTGTGCTTAGAGGGAAACAATAAACCACAATAAACCAGAGAGAAAATGCATATATATTTAACCAAAAATAGATGGTAAACCTTAGAACTGATTGTGGGAAAACATGGACAGTTGGACACAGCATTTGTTTTCACTGTTTTGATGTTCTGGAGAGACATTTGCAGCCTAGAGTTTGGTCTTACTTTGGCTACAAATCAAAACCCAATACCTAACAAAATGTGTCCATAGCACCAGAAACTGATACCTGGCAGGTACTGAAAGCTGACATGGAAGAGTCTGACTTAAACTTGGTTGCTAAGGGTAACACTTTGCCCTTCTGGAAGCCTTCAGTTCATCTGGTAGATAAAACTGGACTGTTACTTCTTAAGCATGTAATAAATGCGAATTAGCGTCACTGCAAACCCCGCACCCCAGTGTTGGTGTGGATGGTGTATTACATATTATCTCTGTATTTTAAGAGAGATGTTAGTCAAGGTCAGCAAAAACTATTGTGGCCACGTCCATAAATCGAATGTCCATATATTGTCTTAACATGCGTGTTTGTCACCAACATTTTAGCCAATATGATGCCAGCATAAACAACAGGGTTTTCCTAACCATTGTAAGACTTGGGCACAGCACCTATGCCAAATGAAAAAGAAAAAAAAAGGCCTATGCTGAGATACGTTTTGCTTTCACACTGCTTTTGTCCTCGTCTGCTCCAGGCTCCCAGGAAGTGTGCTGGGCATTGAAGACAATTTTCGTAGTGGTCAAAAACACTGCTCAAAAAAACTTTTAAGTGTCACAGTATAAAACCAAGTCAGTGAAACTTCAGGAATATCAATCAGTCCATTCAGGAAGCACTAGTGATTAGAATATCTTTAAGAATTAAAGGTTCATTACTCTTTAAAAGGGTGCACTTCCATTATTATGATATTATATTATCATTACATCAATGGCATAAAATGGTCTTAAAATGACAATATTATCATTTATTACAATTATTTCTGTGGCAATATATTGTCAACTAAAAGTAGCTATAAAGACAGGCCCAAGTTCAGTGCAGTTTTTGGGCTCCAGTATGTAAACCAAAGCATTTAACCACGACTGCTGTTGCTGTTTGCTTGTTAATATAGTGCTTTGTATCTTTTCTTTTCTGGCCCTTTCCTAGCTGGTGAGTGTTGCCTTGTCAGACTTTGACACCTTTTCAGTTCCAACTAAGTGAACTTAGTGTCTACCTGCTCTGTTCAGAAAATCTTCCAGTTTAAAAATAGAGACCTTAACTTTCCTCTTCAACAGTAAATTCATATGCAAGGCAATAAGCCAAATGTAAAGTATTATCAGCACTAAAAAATATTCTGCTGGTTTTATTATTTTATTGATAACTACACTGTACTCATTGAGTTAATAGACCTTTTTCATGTAAGACTTTTTGACATGTCATAGCAGGAAAAGCACAAGTGTATTTTATATGGTAAATCATGTTCACATTGCCCTGAGGGGAGGTCCACTGTGCATACTGGCTTACTGGAATAGCTGACTTGGACACTTAACAGAACAGAGCCATCGTTAACATTATCAATTACACCTGTGCATTTAATGCTCTGACAAGTCAAAATGTCTGCTGTGATAAAAATCGGTTGCTGAAATCTTTGAACATAGCAGTGTTGCTAAAAAGAAGTCAGATGGGTGAGAGACACAAGCAGTTAAATGATTAGATAGGCTGTAAGCAAACACCCCAGGTTACGCAAACCTATTTGCAAGAGTAAACAAAGGCAAACAGTCAATTGTATTACCCATACAGACCAACATTTTGTTTCAAATTTACTTTTTGGAAATGCATTGGTTCTCCAGCTTCCTTCCACAGCCCAAAGACATGCAGGTTAACTGGAGACTGAATTGCCAGTAGATGTAAACGGGAGCATGAATGGTTGTCTGTCTCTATGTGTCAGCCCTGTGATAGTCTGGTGACCTGTCCAGGGTGTACCCCACCTCTTGCCCAATGACAGCTGAGATTGGCTTAATGTTGAATGTATTGTGGTTAGACATACAGAGTGTTTTTCAATAACGTTTGGTGGTGAAATAGAAAGCCAGGCTTTTTAACTCATGCTCCTGGAGTAAAACTTTTCTTCACAGCAGCAGATAATACCTGCTCTATGTTAATTACCAACAGGACCTGCTTCACAGGCACACGCCTTAAATACACACAGCACTGCCTACTGTATCGGGGCAGTTAGCACAGTTGTCTGCATCAACCAGAAATACAGAGCACTACGAGTATTAGCAGTCACATTAGAGGGGGCATGCCTGGACCGTTTTCTTTTTTTAGTATAGGGTGCATTCAAATTACTCATTATGAAGTCAATCGCACAGCCTCTCAGGGTAGTGATATTTCAGGCATGCTCTACTGAGCAGCAGCACATATATCCAAGCTATTTGATTCTCAACAGATGGTATGCATCACAACAGCCACATAGAGCTGGTTCACAGGTTCTGTAACAACACATGGTATCGACATCACTACTGTTACATGCACCAACTATTAACTTAGGTAGACCATTTCAATACAGAAGTCACAATATTCTGGTATTTCCTGGTAATTGTTTCAGCCTCCAATTTAGTCCACAGCTGTGAGTGATCAAGTGCACTATGGAAAGAGTCTAAAGTGTTTACCACAGAACGTTGATTTCTTCATTTAGGTTAATATTTCACTTGTGAAATGAGTAGCTACATGTTTTGTAGAAGCACAAACCTTAGCATAATTCAACTCAGAGAAAAAAAGACTCCTAGGTTACACATCAATAAAGCAGAAAGAGGGTAACCTGCAACAGTTGTCCAAAGCTTTTACAGCTTTTACACTTTAGTCTGTGCACTGCAACACCGACACTTCAGGTCTAGTACAAGGAATGAGTGGAATGGACTATTAGAAAAAAATCAACATCACGAGAATCAAATGAGAGGAATGCAGAGTATATATGGTGGTTAAACACAGATAAGAATACCTTGCAACTATTATTTAGAGACATTCTGAGGTACTTTTTGACTTACCCATTCTAGGACACGAATGAATCCAAGAGGTTCTTTCAAGGGTCCCAGGTCCAGAGAAAATCCGGACATCATTTTCTGTGGACGTACAATGACACAGATAGTGGCTATAATATAGTTAGCCAGTTGTAAACGGATTGTCGTTCACATTAGCACCCAAATAACTGGCTATCGTTACCTGTTTGTCACCTTGCAGCTAACTGGCCCTGCCCTTGTTAGCAAATCCCCGCTAGCGACATGCTAAAGCTAACTCATGTCAACCTGGGTATTCAGCTAATTCACCCACCTGAGCAGTGTCCATTGAGACGTGCAACAAGTAGAAAGCAGTTTGTGTTTCACTCCTAAAGTGTTCAGTATCGTTACGAAGCTATCTTAAAGTTACTCAGTTTGCATTCGAGTAGTGGCAAGCGATACAACAGCTACTGACTCTCAGCAGGCGGCAGAGAAACAGCCAGGCACGCAACTGATAAGACTGGTGTCAAACTCTGTACAACGAAACTGTTGTCATACTGACCAAAATAAAATAGACGCTATTTCCGGTTCTTACTTTTCAAAATAATGAACAAAATAATGTAATACAAGCTTATTACACATCTATGAATTCAAGTACATGAACCACTTGTTAGCATAGTTGTCCAATATAAGCCACAGAAATTAGTTACGGGATTTTCTCCATCTGAAATGAACAACAGAGCTAGGGGCGTTTCTAGAATTTAAGGACATAGGGGGCTTAGCCAGGTCCTCTGTAGGAGGGTCCTCCTCCAGCATTTTCTTTTTTTTTTTTTCTTTTTTGATGAACAAGCTCTATTTTGATGCTTTTTTAAAAAAAAAAATAAAAAAAATGCGCTCTCACATATGATCTACCCTTAAAAAATTCCCCAAGATTAATTATGAATTGTGATTTTAAAAACTTTAGTAGTAATTAGTAATTAGTATTGAGTAGAAACAGAATACTTTGCAATTGCCATCATCAAATTTTAGAGGGTTCCGAGGTACTTGTACTTGAGTATTTACATTTTATGCTACTTTATACCTATACTCCACTACATCTCAGAGGGAAATATTGTACTTTTTACTCCACTACATTTATTTGTCTACTTCAGTTCATTTGAAAAATCATATTGAAAATACAAAATATAATCAACTTTTATTCAAGGTATTATTTAAGGTTAAACTATCAGCTCTCTCTATGTGTGTATACATCTTGTTACAATACAATGTTCTCTTGAGGAACTTTTGGTCAAGAAGTTCTCAAGGATGCTACTTGATGTGCTCCACCCACCTGAACACCTCTGCAGATGGAGTATCTCTCCTCATGGCAGCAGCACTGCCCAATGGCAGTGGCCCCCCAGTTCATTCAAATAAACACAAGAAGTTTGTGCTTTAGAGAAAGGATCAGCACTCATTGAACAACCTCCTAAGCCATATGATAAGCTATTATGGCAAGGCTTAACTATACAGACCAGTGAGCAGTGATAACTAACATGCCTTTGGGGTCATCAGGTGGGAACCTCTTTTCACCAGTGTTTCATCTTGTTGGTCCCACGACACCTCCAGGAGGCTAGATAGTGATCTCTGGCGTTCCAGAGACCCTCCCCTAATGCCAGGTCTCACTGCTCCCCGCACCAACCCAACAACCTCCTTTACCTTACTTACACATGGCTTTCTCAGCCCAAACAGCACTGCCACCTTCAACAAACCCAGGCTCCGTTTATGTGAGCTCCAGGTAGAAGCAATGCTGATACTGCCTTTCCTAGCACATTCACCATACATTTCACACGCTACATAGCATAACTCCGATATAAGCTAAAGTTAAAGTAGATAGAGAAGATAAACTCACAGGATCAGCAAACACACTCACCTTGCAGCATGGTCTCAAACAAAAGGGATTCAAATAGGCCACTCCCACACTTAAATAACCTTCCTCTTCCTGGATTTTCTCCTGAGAGGACTGATTGGTGGATCTATCCACCTGATCTCAAGGAGTTATGTACCCTGCTTAGTAGTTCCCCCTGCTGGCCCCCAACTGACATTGTTCCTCCTCATCCAAATCCACTGACTAGCTCGAGCTGCTTCATCTGACATTTCCTTCACTGTCTTCCTCAAACTCTGTCCCTGCACTCCGAGTTCCCCCAGGAGCAAGACAGCTGATCTTGCTGTGAATCCCCTACACCCCACTTCCACTGGACTGAACCTTCTGAATTTACCTGTCTTCATTTCCCTTCGATGCCTACAGCTAAACTTTTCAACACCTGGTTATGTCGCCATGTATATCGGCCTTGTGACAAGCTAACTTTACAGCCTGACAAAATATGCTTTAAGGTTGCAGTACCTGAACGCAATGGGCATGATGGGTCCCCATTTACCCACAGTTTTAGGTTCTGGGGGGTTAGTAAAACGTGGTATGTAGCCCCTACCAGGAATCTAATACGATTCTCCTCCATACTCCACAGGTCCGTCCAACTAAGCTTCCTCTTCTCTACGCTTTCCCAATTCAACCACTGTCCCTGCTTAGCCTGGGCCACTACCTTTGCACCCCTTAATATCTCCGCCTGTCTACATATCTGTTCCACAACCAGCTTTCTTTTATCTGAGACTGCTTGAGACTGGCCAAACTCAACATTACCTACAATCTCTGCATGCCTAAAGGTGCTGACACACCAAACCGACATCAAAGAACTAGCGACAACGAAAGCCAACTGTTGCGTTGTCTATGTCGCCTCACGTTGCCTCACGTCGCCCTGTGCCACTTGCATTTGAACACACTACAAAGACTACATCCGATGGCTAGGTAGCACGTACGTTCTGCGCCTGTGTGAGAGAAAATAACGCAAAAAGGGAAACCGGAAGTCCTAGAAATGCATGAGATAAACAAAGTAGCGGAGTGAGAGAGTGGTACATCCTGTCAGCCGAGGGGTTTCCTATCTGTGCAGCCAAGCACTGCAGCACCTCCACAGACTATTACATCCAGACGGTCCTGGTGTCTCCTCCACAGGCTCCACTTCACTCAGCTGTCTGACAAACCCGCTTCTTCTTCCCACTTTACCCTGAATAACAAACCAGGGCTCGGTGCTCCGGTTGGATCCAAACGGAGAGCCGGGGCTAGCTGGGAGGCTAGCGGAAGCTAACTGGCTGTGCTTCCCTCTGGTCATGCTGCAGCTATTCAGGTTAAAGTGGAAGAAGCAGCGGGTCTGTAGGGTCACTACAGGCAGATTCACTCGCTACAGGGGCAAGGAAATAAAACCTGAACAGCCAATCAGAGTGATCTCTCTCACCAACAAGCTCCGCCGCCAATTCAACATGCTCAATCGGCTGAAAAGCCGCCGACGCCGAAGTGCCGACGGTGCGGGACACACCACAAAAACTAGGGCGACAGACACTCACTGACGGCCCGACTTTGACCGATGGCCAACCGTTGGCTTGGTGTGTCAGGGCCTTAAGAGCTGCCTCTGCCTCCTGAACTGCCAATCTTGGGTTCCATTTCCTCCCCTTGGTTGGATTTGGAGCTACACTCCTAACTACCACGTCCTTACTCCCAGAAAACAAGAGCTCTGTCCTGACCTAGGTTCATTTAAATGCCTCTGTTAAACTAGATACTGGCAGCTGAAGTATCCCTTTTCCATACAATGCAACACTACTTAGGCACCTGGCAGCGCCCAACCATGGTTGGTTGCATGGCATGGTGTATTTTCCAGTAGGAAAATGTACCATGCCACACTGCAGAAACTGTGCAGGAATGGCCCGAGGAACATGACTAAAAGCTAAAGGCATCGACTTGGCTACGCCTAATCCACGGTTGGACCTCCCTGGATCGGACTTGTCTCTGACATGTCAAGGCATGGACACATGACCTCTGGAAGGTGCCCTGTGGTGTCCGGCACTGGGGTGCTGGCTTTGGATCATTTGAGACCTGTCAGTTGTGAGGTGGGGTACCAGCACTTCCCAAGATGCTCAATCAGATTGGGGTGATGGAGATTTGGAGGCCAGGAAGATCCCTTGAGATGTTTGTCATGTTCCTCAGGCCATTCCTGAGCAGTTTTTGTGGTGTGGCATGGCACATTTTTCTGCTGGGGGGGCCACTGTCACCAGGGAATATCGTTGCCATGAGGGGGGGATACTTAGCCCACAGCGGTGTTTGGGTGGGTGGAGGGCATCAAGTGGCATCCACATGAATACCATGACCAAAGGTCTCCCAGCAGAACATTGCACTGTAACAAAATGATCAATGTTACTGAGAATTAACATCATATTATGCATGCATATTCTTATCATGATGGTCCACCAGCAGATGGAGACATGAAATACAATACTTTCCAGTGTATGTAATATTCATTTGTTGTGCAAATTAAGAAAAAGCATGTTGGCCAGGTTTAATAGCTCATTTTAAAGCCAATATTGGCTGATACCAATGACGTGCCAGTATTATTGTACATCCCTATTTCTGATCAAGTCAAGTCAAAATTTATTATAGCCCAAAATCACAAAAAATGCCTCAATGGGCTGTAGCCTACATAAAAACACATAAGCAAATTACAAATAACACAACAAATAAAATACATAAAAACAAGTGAAATGACTATGTAGAACAAAATAAACAAACAAAACAAAATGAAAACAAAGCAAAAAAAAAACCAAAACATTGGCACTTGTATATATGTTAAAGGCAGATGCAAAAAGGTGTGTTTTGAGTTTACTTTTGAAGGAATCGACTGTGTTGGCTTCACGGATTTGAATGGTAAGGCGGTTGCAGAGGAGAGGGGCTCGGTATGAGAAGGATCTACCACCTGCTGATGATTTATTAATTTTGGGGTTGGATAGGAGACCAACATTATGGGATCGTGGAGGCCTGATTGATAAACGTGGAGTAAGTAGAGATGATAAGTAGGATGGTGCAAGTCCGTGTAATATTTTATAAGATAAAAGCAGAATCTTGAAGTCCGATCTAGTGTGTACAGAGAGCCAGTGTAATGAAATAGGAACAGGGGTGATATGGTAAAATTTTCTGGTTCTGGTTAATATCCTGGCAGCACTATTCTGAACGAGTTGTAGTTTCCTAATGGTTGAATTTGGTAAGCCAGAGAAAAGTGTATTGAAATAATCTAATCGGGATGAGACAAAAGCGTGAAGCAGTGTTTCTGCATTAGTCATGGAGAGAATGGGACGAATCTTGACAATATTACGTACGTACATTATGATCGATATTATATTTTTTTCCAGGGGCTTTAATGCATTAACATAAAGACAGATTATTAGACCAGGGGCTTTTTGTTTCATTATTAGGCATATTCTTATTTTTGAAGAATTCATGTAGCCTATATATAAAAACAGAAAAAAAACTCTGTAGCTACATGTGGCAAGTGTGTCAAAGTAAAGCACATCTTTGATAAAAAATTAAAAAGAAAGGCAGAAAACTAATTATGAAATTCACAGGCAAGCAGTAAGCAAGACATTATGTGGGACATTTTTTTTGTTATTGTGACAGAGGTACGACTGTTATTGAAGGTATCATAATCACTGGAATAGAAAGTTTGGTTTTGTTTGCATCTCTTCTGTCTAAGTAGGTAGTGGCATAACTAAATTAAAATTTGAATGAATTTAGTTGGTTGAAAGAGTGAACCTCTAAAAAAGGAAAGGGAAAGAAAGCCTATTGTAAACAAACAAACAGACAAAACAAAACTAAGATGTAAATGTAAATATTTCTATAGCCTTTTTATTTTTGCAGCATAAATGAAACTGGCCTGACCTGACTTGACTCCATCTACGGCATAAATACAAAATGTTTATATGTTTTCTAAATGATACAAATCATTTAGGCATTGAGGCTTCCACTTACCACATACAAGTGAACTACACATTACTCCAAATCCCGTAAAGGTGGCATTCAGGCACATCAGCCACATAACATAGGAGCTCACACTGCTCCCTTGTGGAAATAATATTTATTGCACCGTGAATGGAATTAACGCGGTCGAGCTGTCGCATTTAATTCATATTAATTCATTTACTTAATTGAACCAACACTCAGAGAAGCCAGTGGTGGAAGAAGTATTCATAAACTCTTCCACTGAACATCCACTTGTGTGAATGCATCAAGTTTTGTCAGCACAATAACATAGAGTATGTAAGTAAGGACATCGTGCCATATCTTTGGATTGTTGATGCAGAAGTATTGAGTATAATTTCGTAGTTGGTCGACGTAAACTAAAAAGTACAATATTTCACTCCGAATTGCGCGAAAAAATACACATCATGGCAGCAGTTAATCCCAGCACAGTAAAGTCGTCGAATTAACAGTCTTTCCGCTGTACCTGAACGCAGCATACTGTGTGGCCCACCCTCCTAGTTTTCACTCCATATCCGCCATTTTGCTGTGGTTTTAGTACGGCAGCGACAGTCAACGAACCGGGACGAGGTCTTTCCTACATTTTACAACTTTTTAAAATATTTTTAAACCCGAAACTGGTAATAAACACCGTACACTTTGTTGACATAATATATTTGCTGTTATATTGTAGTGTTTAAATATGATAAATATCAGCACCACGATTGCGAAACAACCAGCCGCCTCACAACAAATAGCTAGCGTTAGCTAACGTTTACTGAACGCTAACGAGAAGGTCGCGAGGAATTGGTGGTTTAGGTAGGCCTCTGCTTGTAGCATAAGCTAAAACAACCCTAAACTTCCCTAGCACAATATCGCAAGTGGTAGCCAAGCTAACAAAAAGAAACAGCCGAAGCCACGCTATTGAACTATCTAATTTTTTGCCGATCTCTATAACGTAACAATCATAGATATTTTGTTTTTATCTCTACGATTATAGTAGTGTCTTTCCATCACTGCCGGGAATTGGTCGTAGTTTGTTCCAGCTAGCTCTGGGCTACTTTTTAATATTCAACAGTAAGTATCTGATTGTTTTCTTGTCTGTCTTGGTTTTTAAGCTTTGACTACACATCTTGAACCAACACTGAAGGTGACCTGTGACGTATGTTATTTGCCGACTGGTTAGCTGTCTCAGTGGTTTCTGTCCGTAATTTAACTTAAGATCTCACACTTCTGTGGCTCCAGGAAAAGTGTTTCTTTTACTTGCAATGCAAGTTAGAAACTTTCTGAATCCTTATTGTTATTCTGTTAATGTGTCTTCAGTGTAAGTGTTCTGTTGCTTCTGTAGACCATATTTTCCCGTTCCTTAAAATGGAAGCCAGTGTTGTTCTTAAGGCTGATCATCAGTGTCAAAGGAGGGCCTCCATGTCTTGGGGAAGTAAACAACCCAGGCCTGGACTCCTTAAAATTGCACAATTAATTCTTCTTTATTCTGGATTAGATACTTGAAATATGTAAACATGGGTAGATAATGTAGTGCAGTAACAGTGAGTCTGTCCACTGACATGGACTCCTGTTATAACGAAATTCCACTTTGCTTTGGAGTCTTTATTGAGGGCATATCTGTCTCAATGTACCCTGTGTGGAAATGTCCATCTGTCTCCTCTGTATTTGTGCACAACTGTCTCTCTGTTAATAACACCCTTTTCAGTTCCCTGGGGAGTGTTTTTGATTGATTTTGTAGGTTTTAAACCATCCTCTTGGCCCTTTGTGGGAATCCCTGGATAAGGATAGCTTGCCCCCCCCTCATGAGCATACATTGCCAGAAGATTTTTTTTTCCCCGCTTCAGCATTGGCTGAAAATCTCAACAGGCTTGAAAATCCTGGCAAATTTTTTTCTACTGCCACCACCCAAATCTCACCAAGTGTGCAAAATGTCCAAGTCCAAGAAGAAGCTGAGGATTTTTTTCACCTACCATCCATCCCTTTTTTTTGCCACATCAATCAAAGCAATTTTGGATCTATTTTTCTTTCCTGGCTGTTCATGTTCCCCTATTTCTTTCATTCATTTATTAATAAAAAATAATAAAAAAATCCCCAAAGGACTCTATTGAATCCACCACCAGTAATGTTTAGCAGTCTGGCGGAGATAAAGATGTCTCAGAAAAGAGATGTCATAGGAAGACGAGTGTCTCTGGGCGACCCACCCCCCTTTACCTCTTAACTCATGGATCAAGTGTTCCTTCAGGACTCCATACCACCCCGGAGACACCCTACCAGCAGTGCACTCAAGAGGGAGACAACTTCTCAGCCCCCTCAGGTAAAGGTGGCACCACGCTTAAAAAAAAGACAATTTTAAAATTTATATTTAATTCTCAGAAAAACATCACTGATTGGTCAACAGGTCACATCGTTTTCCTATCCTATCCTATCAAACATTTGTGGACATTTCTTAACAGCACCATGGTTGAATTGAGTTCAAATTTACACAAGGCTATTCAATCAGAAGTGCACTGCTGCCTTAAGATGACTGCGCTTTCCCTCTCTCCCTAGCCCCAGTTTTACACCTTGTAGTCATTGTTTTTCCAAAGACTTTTTCATTGATAGGTTGTGTGAAACCTAAAATGTTAGGTTACTGATGATATTGTACCTAATTCTAGTAAGATTCCTTAATGTACAAGTTGGAGCAAGTTATTCTATTTTGTATGGAGAAATTACTGCATCTACTCTTCCTGGTATTAGTTTTACATGTGCAGACATGTTCATGAATTGATGCAATAGAGGAGGATTTCTGTTTTTGATGTGTTGCTGTGTTATGTCCTGTTGGCCCTAAAGAGAACCAGCTGCTGGGTTTGAAGGTCGTAACCTCACCACCTCTGCCACTCCAGAGGCATACCAGCATTACTATGACCAACAATGGAGATGACTGCTACTTCTTTTACTATTCCACCTGCACTAAAGTAAGCAAAGTTTCAGCACAAAGCTCACATATACTCACACATGGTGTAACCAGTTGACATGACTGGTGACCAGAAAGAAAAGTGGGGTTTAACTGTGTTTCATTTGTCATGCAGGGAGACAGCTGCCCATTCAGACACTGTGAAGCAGCTATGGGCAGTGAGACTGTCTGCAACCTCTGGCAGGAGGGACGCTGCTTCCGTGCTATCTGCAAGTTTCGCCACATGGAGATCACAGTAAGCAAGATTTAAATATAATTTTTCAATTGGAGAAGGCTCAGAAATATCTCCTTCAAGCTTTGCCCACTCGAGGCTGCGTGTGTCTTGATTGGCCATTAACGAAGGATAGAAAATGTCTCCTGTAAACCTGGGCCAGGAGCTCAACTCCTGCCCCTGGATCTGTTGGGAGGAACACTGAATGCACTATAAGGGCAATCACACAACAAGCCCATCAGTATACTACATTACAATAAACACAGTCCGTAAAAGACTCCCATTAATATTTACTTACATAAGCAGTTGTTAGTTAAAATGAGAATTGAAATGTCTGGTAAGCTTCATTTGTTAATTATACCCCATTTCAACTGCATGGTAAGACATGGCTCAGTTTCAAACACTTTTATGATTTTTCATCGGCAAAATTAGTGGATAGTATCTGCCGAGTTCAGTCATCATACCATATGTCGATAAGAGAAATAATAACATAATCAGTATGCAAGTGTGAAAACAGGATTAAGTCACTAAATCTTCATACAGTTTTTTTTACCCTCTTTTGAATTCAGTTGTGCTGTTGCATATATATGCAAAAGTTTATGGAGTTAAACTTATGTTTCATTGAAATAGAAAAAACGAAAGGAGATACCTTGTTATTGGGAGAACCAGCTGGCCGGCTGCCAGAAGCCACACTGTGCCTTCTTCCATGAAAGGCCCCGCTGCATTGACGGCGTCTTTGTCCCACCTGATAAAAGTAAGTGAACTTTTCTGAAGCAAACACACGTGAATTGAAATGAAGAGAGTTAAAGACAATTTCACACCCACATGTGAAAGACAGTAATGATAATCATTGCATGTCTACCAGGTCAAAGCAAGAATGAAGAACAGCCACATGAGGAACCAGCCCCCCCGCCACCTGCCCCTCTCCCCACTGCAGCCAATCCTCAGCTCAGGAGCGTCATCAAGACAGAAACTCAGGAGCCAGTACCCAGCCCCACCCACCCACCTGTGGTGATCAATCCAGCAGATGATGATGAGGATGAAGATGGTAAGAGGGATTTGATCTCAAAATTACTTCCTTTTTTAGTCCTCATCTCCCGACAGTATTTTTCCTGTGGTCTGTACCACTCACATGTCTTCTTGTTTCCAGATCAGTTCTCAGAGGAGGGAGATGTTGGCCCATCTCCGAGAAAACCCAAATCAGGTGAGACTGTGCTCAGAGACTATGGTTGCATTCACATGATTACTTTTTCGTTTAAAATCACTTAACTATTGCTGTGGTTACACCCAATGTCCACATTAATCTGCTGTTTGGAACCCCTAAACGGAGAACTTAAAAAAAACCTGCCGACTGCGTTTTAGTAATTTTAAAAAACTCAGGGGTTAAGTTTAGTCTAGATGGGCAAAAACAGAGACTTTTGGAAACAATGACTCAGACACCCACATTTGCTCTCTGATTGAGTTTTATCAGTCACATCATGTCAGTCCAAAACAGCAGAACTAGGCCAACATGCCATTTGTGATGGTAACCTTACTCCTTTCCCATTGTCATGGCTTCCACTGCTGACCCATACTGCTCCCAGTATGGGTCAGATATGTTGCCATATTTGCTTTGTAACAACTTCCAGTCTATATTCTGCATCCTTGACAGCCTTATACTCATGTTACTTTCAGTAACAGTTCCACTTTATCGTCGGTACAAGCAAAGGAAACCCTGGTCCTACTTTTTGCGATCTCCATGTATGTTCTGTAACTAAGCAACCAGCTGCAGAGTAGACCGCCTGCTTCCTGTTTACACCAGAAAGCGCATGCCCAATGTTTGTGAATGGTCATGTGATATGTGTTTTAAGACGTATTGGTATGGATTGAGATTATTTCTGAAACTGTGCTAAAATGCTTCTCTATATGGAGATTGTTTTTGTTTTAAAACATTTTAAAATGAAAATATTAGTGTGGATGTGGCTTAAATTTTGCAGACATAAGTGGGCATAATTTGCACCCAGAGCTGTACTACTGCCAAATCCTTTGTGGCCTTTATGGAATGATGGTGTTTTTATGGTGTGTAATGTGTGTCTTGACAGATGACTCACTGAACTTTGGAGTAAGCACCCTGGAGGAGATCCGGCTGAGGAAGGCGCTAAAGGCCAGCATGAAGAGAGCTGGTTACCCCATCCACAGTCCTGATACCTCGACCAATGGAGAGAAAGAAAACATCCAGTCATTATTTCGACCACCCCTCTACGAAGCGAGAGATGGTAAAGAAACAACAACACAAAACAAGTTTGATTGAGATCCTACCTAAATACTAATTTCATAATGTATCTTATGGTGGAATATGATTTTAAGGAATTGTGTGATGAATTTGCTCAACAGGGACACATAAATACATTGTGTGATCAGCTTAAAGAAATATCAGAGCCTGCCTTGGGTCTTAATAAAAATAAATCCAGGAAACTACATGCTAGCTTGACAGTTAGCTTGACTGCTGTTGCTATTGTACAGTAGCAATGCACTGTTTGGATAAAACAATGACTGGAATATTGATATTGACAGATAAAATAGACATAATAATTGGCAGTGATTCGCTTAAGGCCTTATGCACTGAAATATACTGCTCATGGTTGCTTTGAAGCAGCGTCTTACTTGGCTCTGTCTCTCATGTGATGATGAAATGAAACATGGATTTTCCATGCTAAGATATCTGGTCTGGATACCCACCTTTTGAAAACTAAAAATAAATGTTTATATTTAACCACAAAAAAACAATTCAAATTAACTAATTGAACACTAACTGTTTCTTTCAATCCCAACGAGAAGTAAAATCATTATTACCCGGTTCTCAACCAGCGTGGTCCTTCTTTTAACCTAGGTCCACTAGTGTTTGAAGAAACTGCAAGACCAAGAGGCAGTTTGGCTGAAAGACTTGGAAGGAAGATACCCGCCACTGGTAAATTTTCACTCTTGTTAAACCTTATCAGCAAATTTAGTGCTAGTGCTAATAATGATTGTCTTAATTGCACCAATTAGAAGCTCATGACTTGTCCTTGCTGTAGATGTGATAAGTGGAGAAGGTTTTCCACTGAGGAGGGGTCTGGCTGGGCGTCTGGGCAGAGTTGTGGGTGAGGACGATCCATTAATGCCCCCTCAGAAAGGTGAGCATTAGAACACTTTAAAAAAAACTAGTAAATTATTATTCACTCAACATCACATGTAGCATTTTCCTCTAAATCATGCTGATAATAGTTGATCTTAAGGTGGTAAGAGCACCGATGTGACTATGATATGTGTCTAAAACAGGCTGTTGTTTTGATGGAGTTTATAATTTAAAAAGTCCAGAATGAAAAATGTGTCGTTAAAATCTCTCTTTTCTTTTGCTTTTACAGCCTTGAAGCCTATTAAAGATAGACTTGGATTGCCTAGGTCTTTTACACCCACTCCATCAGGTAAGAAGTAATTGACATTGTCCATTATTTTGTCTGGGAAGATATTTATCACGCTCTTTCATTAAACACTGTTTATTGTTGTCAACTTTCCCAACAGCTGAGACCAACATGGAGTCAAAGAAAGCTCCGGAGCAGATACGCATCAAAACTCTGGAGGAGATCAGACAGGAGAAGGCAGCAAAGTCTCAGCATCAGAGCCAGAAAGATGTTCCCACAGTCGTAGCTCCTGAAACAAACAACAAAACCCAAATCACAAAGGCTGTCAAGCGAGCCATCACCATCAAAGAGGTCTCCATTGATCACGTTAAGACGTTCTCAGAGATCCTTCATGCCAAGAAAAAAAGGCAGGAGGAGCAGGAACAAAAGCCCAGTGCTAAGAAGGCCAAGCACACTGTGGAGAAAGCTCCGGGCAAGGGAGAGTCTGACACAGCAGGTCCAGATCCTGAGGCTTCAAACATAGGGGAGGTTAAAGTAAAGACTCTGGAGGAGATTCGCAGAGAGAAGGCAGCAAAGATTCAGGCCCAGCAGGCCCTGAAGGCTGAAAACAAGAAGAGTTCTGATAATGAGGAGAACAGTGTTAAGAAGCCTCGCTTACTGCGCATCAAGAAACCTGCTTCCCAAAGTAAGACAGCACCTACATTTTTTTAGGGTTGTTCCCTGTGTGTTAACACAAGGAATGTATATAGAATTGTTGTTAATCCTGCTGTTGTAAATGTCATTCAAATTGAATTGATTTTCGGTAGTGTTGTCACAATACCAAAATCTTTGTTTCGGTACCAATACGAATGTGGATACTTTTCGATACTCTTCGGTACTTTTCCTAAGGAAAAGTCCTTTTGGATACATACCTTTAGAGCAATAAATAGTAGGGGTGTAACGGTACCAAAAAAATCATGGTTCGGTAAGTACCTCGGTACGGACGTCACTGTTTGGTAACTCAATGTTCCACCAAGTTTGTGTTGTCTCGTGTTGTCTCCCTTTGCGAGGCAGACTTTCTCGTGTCTTTTTTCATGTGCGCCAGCTGCGAATGTTGATACAGGTGTTGTCATACACACCACTTGTGCAATCTGTGTTCCAATAGGAACAGGAAAAGGTGTTTGTGTGCATAATTGAGTAAAATAAATTAACTAAATTAATGAATTGAATCAATTTCAAAGTACTGGTATTTTCCAAATGCAGTATAGTACCGTTTGGAATACTCTAGTACCGCGGTGCTATTTTAGTACCGGTATACCGTGCAGCACTAATTTTCGGATCTTCATCTTACATGCCATGTTTGAAATTATTGAACTGCAGGCAACGTCACAGACGGAGGTAAGCCACAGAGGAGCACAGAGACGGAGAAGCCACTGAAAACTACTGAGGTACAGTCTGTAAGATACTATAGTACTGGCTGTGATTGCTTGTTATTCTGTTGACTCTGTGATGGTAATTTTCCTGTATCTTTCTAGACCAGTGCTGCCACCAGTAATAATGTCAAGGTCAAGACCTTTGAGGAGATCATGCGGGAGAAACGCCTTCGCAAACAGGAAATGGAGGAGCAGGCCATGGGCTCAGCTGAAGAAGAGCCTTCTGAGAAACAGACCAGCGGAGGAGCCCTGAAGAGGAAGGCTCCTGCTAAAATCAGTCTTACATGCCTGGGCTCGTCATCGCCTTCCTCCACCACTCTGGCCCCTGACTCTACGCCTTCCACCCAAAAGCTTTCTGTTGGAAAACTGATCCCCCTCAAAACTAAGGCTGCTTCACCTCTGAACAACACTACTTCTGGTACAAGAGGTGCTGCTGTTAGAGCTGTGACCTCAGTCCCTGTGAAGCTGTGCTCCTCTTCTCTGGATGTTGAGCCAGAGTCTGACTCACAGAGCCCCAGCAGCTCCAGGGAGGTCCCAGACAAAAACACAAGGAATTCCATTGCACTGTCACCAGACAAGCAGGCCAGAGCAGCTCCTCAGGTTCCCGGTGCAGAGGCCCTTACTTCTGATAAAACACTGAACAATAATCAGAAGAAATCCCCAGAACCCACTGCAGACACCAAAGGTATTGCACCTTTCACTGTCATACATACTTCATTTTGCATACCACACTCCCACATGTGGCATAGTAAGTGACGTATCTTAAGACCAACATCGTGGATTCAAAGAGTTCTCATTTGACAGCTTTGATTCCTTTGTCCTTCCTCTCATCCTCCTAATCTCTCTCTCTCACATCCTCGCTGGGAGGAGCGAAGATGCGAGTGAGGGAAGAGAGGAGACACGGTAGCATTGCATAAAGTACCCCTTGTTATTGTTGGCTTACTGCATACACCTGATTTCAAATGTCATGTAAACATGAAACCCAGACCCTAGTAATTAGGGTAAAGGGTTTAGAGAAACCTGATTGTGTGGCCATGTATACACATAACTGGGCTTCAGACAGGGTTTGTCCAAAAGTGCATATGTGTAACAGATCCTCCACACAGGAAAGAAAGAAAAGCACAGGGTGCTCTGGCTTCATTGTTTCATTGTTTGTGCATTTGCTCATCATTAAAACTCTACTTCCTTTTTCAGTGAGGCCCAAGCTGAATGTGAAGCCTTCTGTCGTAAAGGTGAAACCAGGCCAGAAGAGGAAGGGAGCAGAACGATCTGCCGTTGCTGCTGTTAAACCTCTGAACACTACTTCCACAGCACTGAAAGAGCCACTGCAGGAGACAACACACACAGACAGACAGGTAGGTTGAGATGTTGGGCCAGTTATGGTGATCATATGTGCCAAGACCTTTTCAAATGTACCTATGGGGGCTTTCACATCGGAGGACCCAGGCATCGGACCAGGCAGCAGCCCTACTCAGGCACGGCAGGAATCAAATGTGCCTAATGTGGCATTTTTGTACACCTAGATTTGTGTAGTTTTTTGTATCTTTCACATTCTGTCTATGCATTTCCACTCAACATTTCCGTAACACAATGACATGTTTTGTTAAATTGATCAATGTGCCCATTTACACTGTTGGTTTTAATATATCTCACTCATGTCTTGGGTCCCTTTTTTATATTCTGCCTACAGTTAATTGAATTTAATCTTATCCTAAATTCAAAGAAAGAATATGCAGATAAAGTATGAAGGGGAGTCTAATTAATCTAATGCTGTTATTGACCTCTTGTAACTTTTGTTCCATTGTCAGGAGTTTCCGTCATCCAGTGCTGAGGCTCAGCTGAGCTCTGCTGTTCCCCGTAGTCCCAGCACCCTGCTGGACTCAGGCTCTAGCTCCAGCCCACTGAGAGAGGAGCTGCAGACTGTCCCTGTCTTCAAACAGAGTCTGAGCCAAGAAGCCAAGCAGACTGTCAGCGTTGCTGCAGCCAGAGAGGCCTGTACAGTCCCCCAAAGGTAAAGGTTCACAGAGAGCTTCACTTTCACTTCAACTTAATAACATGAAAACTCACTTCTTGGTAATGTCAGATATCACAAAGTAAATATCTGTAAGCAGGTGTGGGGAATGATGTATTAATTACTGGCAAAGTTAAAGAAAACGAACTGTATAAAGAAATGTTACAGGACACCACCAGTATTTCATCCCTTTTCAAGTGAGAAGCAATCAGTCCAAACAGTGTTTCTTATAGAATATTAACCATTCAGATAACAAATCAAAAATTTTGCTCGGGTTCGGCCCACTTGACATGCTGCTGTGTTGTGCTATGGCCTATTCACGTATGTGACAACAGCGCCTGAATGCAACACAGGCTCCGCCCCATTGACTGTGTGCACAGTGCTGTGCTGTGGGTTCGGCCGGGCTCGGGTTGGGTTCAGTCAGAAAAATGTAATATAATGGTAGGGGAAACACTGAAATAAACATTTGGGCAAAATTTCCCCTAACCTTAACAAGTAATTGATATCGGTTCATGTTGCCATTTGTAACCTCAGAAAAAATACGCTTTGGCTGACACAGCCCCTAATACAGCATTGTCAGTTACTAAATTAATAACAAGCCTCTCTGTGCATTCCAGCTCAGTCCTGAAGTCTCCCACCCAGCCCAAGTCACGGAGACTGAGCGTAGCTGCGTCCCGCTCTACCTCCACCTCCGCTGTGGATGAATTTGAGGAGCTGATCAGCGAGTTCACCGATGACCATCTGGAGGGAGACGTTGACCCTGGCATTGGAGAGGATGACCTGCTGCAGGAACTGTCAGAGATGATTGACAGCTAAGGGCTCCATCAAGCACAATCAACTCCCCGCCCCAATGTCTCATCCACAGCCTTGTCTTGTTTACAAGAAGTGAAGACCATCACCCACTAACTATCATGGAGCGTTTAAAAAAAGACATTTTAAAATCATTTCTTAAACTTTAGGTTCACATTTGTTTTTCTTCTCTCCTTTTTCATTTCCTTGCCCATATGATCATCTGCTCAGCCCAAGGGTTATTTTGCAGGGCTCTGATTTTTTTCCACCTCTGTTCATGATCTTAGTCAAACTTTTCATGTTCTGAAAAGACAAAATGAAAAAAAGCTTTGGTGCTGGGAGATATTGTTAAGAAACCCATCAGTTTGTCAGGAAGACATTAAAACTTGGGAATGATGAATGTGTTATTTTAGAGAGAAGTCATATCTGTATACTGTGTATGCAAAGGGAAGAGCAAGCTGAGTAGATGAATAATGAATACTGCTGCACTTGTAGTAGCCTGCCCCCCAACTACTTGTTCAAGTTCAATGTTTTTGTTTTTATATGAGTGGATAATACTGGTGTTGCCCAGCTTGTTCCCAGATTATCACATTTAAATGTGTCAATTTTAATTTAATGATCGACAAAGCTCAGGTTAGAGCGTAAGAGGAAGCTAGAAACTTCATCAGTCATGTTACTGTTGGGATGGTTTTACCCATCAGGTGTATGTGGTTTGTAGATTTTCCACTCAGATGTTATGGAGTGCACCCTCTGCCAGTGGCTGTTCTTTAGTGTTTTTATAATGTCTGACTGAACTGTTCATGTTAAATTTTTTCTAAACTTTTTTTTTTTTTAATCAGTGGATATCTTTTGAAACAACTAGTCTGAGATGAACATCTAAGTGCTCTCTGGGCTTTGTTAGCGAACACCTCAGGGACTGTTTGTATGTTCTGAAAAACTATATTTTAATTCAACAACGACGTCTTTAGTTGTCTTCTTCTCTTTTGTGTTACTATTGGTTTATCAGTGTAATCTGAGCAAAGATCAACCTGTTTTGGTCTTAATATGTGTTTGCTCTGTCCTGACCCTTTCCCACATGCTTAATCTGCAAAGTGACTTGTAAATATTACTGTATAAATAAAAGGTGCTTTTAATGACCAGCTGGATCAATAATTGACTTATGATTTAATTGGCATCCAGGCAGTATTCGTGCAAGGATTGGGGATCAATATCAGGTGTAGGTGTTGTTACAAGAAAGGAATGTAAACAAGTAACTTATTTTTATTCAACCTAGCTTTTAACAAACATCACAGTTTATGAATGTTCACACAAAAAATGCAATGAGCAGGGTGTCTGCAGGTCCTTAGAAGGTGTTGAGATGTCTTCAATTTTACAAACTTCAGGCCTTAAAAGTCATTAGTCTTAATTTGATTTTATAAGGTCTCAATTGCCATGGACATTTGTTCTAATTGCATTCATCTTAAAGCTATTTTTGTCAAAACTTCATGGTATTCTTTGTGAAAGTCCACATTTCAAAATTTTAAACTTAATACTCCACCTCATAGTCTTTTTACATTGTTCTTTAACTTACCTCCCAACAGCCTACCTACCATATTCCTACCTCCCACGGGAACATAACTACTGAACTTCTTATTGTCTCAAATTTGTTTAAAAATCATCTTGGAGAGGTCTTGAAAAGAATGTAAGTGTGTGATAGCTGTAGACACCTCAACAAATTAAATGAGATTACACCCCATGACATAAAAGTGATGGACAAAATATTAGAAGCACCTCTTTGTATGTGATTCAACAGCCTCCAAAATTACTATATAGTTAAACACCCCTTGAAAACAGTTTCAACAAACCTGAATATTATGAACCTCATGAAGGAGGATTCATTACAGGTTAATCTGAATGAGTTTTAGCCAGGTGTACATAATAAACTGGTTGCCAAATGTGTATTTGTGGGGGTACATTTCCAGCAAATTCTTAGAGTTATCCCAGTAAAAAAAGAGAGACATGTTTAAGGGAACACTTAATGGTCACAGTGTCAGTTAAACTTCAGGCATATCAATCTGTCCATTTAGGAAGCACAAGTGATTGTGAATCAATTTCACCTGCTTTAGTGCAAATCAAAGTGCCAACAGGTGCAATGGAGAGGCAAAAGCAAGACAACCCCCAAAAAGGGAATGGTTTTGCATGTGGTGGCCAGACAGTTGCTCTCTCCATATCCTTCCTGACTGATTCTTCTCTAGTTTGTGTTCTGCTAGTGTCCTTTTCACTACTGGTAGCACCAGGCGGTACCTGCAGCCTAATCAGGTTGCACAGGTAGTCCAGTTCCTCCAGGATTGCACATCTATACATGCGGTCGCAATAGGGTTTGCTGTGTCTCCCAGCACAGTCTCAAGAGCATGGAGGAGAAACCAGGAGACCGACCATTACAGGAGGAGAGCTGGACAGGGCCGTAGAAGGGCATCAACCCAGCAGCAGGACCGGTATCTGCTCCTTTGTGTGAGGAGGAACAGGAGGAGCACTGCCAGAGCCCTACAAAATGACCTCCAGCAGGCTCCTGGTGTGCATGTTTCTGACCAAACTGTCAGAAACAGACTCCATAAGGGTGGCATGAGGGCCCGACGTCCTCTAGGGGGACCTGTGCTCACAGCCCGGCACCAAGCAGCTTGATTGGCATTCACCAGAGAACACCAGAATTGGTAGGTCTGCCACTAGCAGCCCGTTCTCTCCACAGATGAGAGCAGGTTCACACTGAGCACTTGTGACAGGTGTGAAAGAGTTCGGAGACATTACTTTGTTCCGGGCTGTTTGAAGCTCATCATTTGCTCTTTGATTCACCACAATAAGTGTCATCCCAAATCTCAGTCCAAGTATGAGTATTAGCCCAAACCATTTAAAAGAGTTGAACTGGCTCCCTGTTGAAGGTAGAATTCAACAGGTAAAGCTTATTATGATCTACACATGATTGTACAAGGTCTATGTCTGAATGATTTATTTCAGTATGTTTGGGACTCTCATGGCCTTAATACAAGTGCTAGTGTATCTAAATCTGCCCTTTCTCTGAGCAGTTTTAAAAACCATCTAAAAACTGGAGGTTGAGTAAGCTAGTATGGTGAAACATCCTTTCCAGGACAGTTTTAAGTTACTGGTCTAGTTTCTGAATTTAAGTGTTTTTTATTGTCCTGTATGACATTGCTGGTTTATGTTTTTATTAGGTGTGTTAGTGTAAAAATGGGATATTAGTGGCATATACATGTCAGTCCCTATTCCTGCCTGCCTCTTAGCCCATACTTCAGGAACACAATAGAAAAAACACGTGACTTTATTGCAGTATATCCTGATGAATTTTGATTCTGTATGCACATTTGTGTACCGTGTTTAAATTTATCACATAAATTCAATCAATCAATCAGTCAATAAAACACATTGCATAAACAGCATCACACAAGAAGGAATAGCCTGTCTTGGTAGTGAGCACAGTTTAAATGCACACACTTGCCTAGGTGAACCCAAATGAATACACCGGAGCTAGAAGACCCAGTTGCTGGTTTCTGGGGTGACGGTCAGCTACAACAGCACTGGAGAGAGAGTTATGTATAAGAATGGGATGGTGCATTGGCGTTGCTCTGCATTTGTAGGGGATGTGAATGGAAACACATGCAGGTATTTAAACATACCGCACATGATAATCTACAGTATGGCATGACCCAGATTTACCGATCACTGGCACCCTTCTATAATATAGCTAGTCTGTAAAGGCAGGACACAATAACCTTTGGGGGATAGGCCCATTTTTTTCTGTTGGCGCACTGGCGGAAGCAGAGCGGTGGGGAATCAGTGTGGATGAATCAAAAATGGAAACAAGTGGAAACAGTTCATTTTGGGTGGTAATGCATTGCATGACATTGTAAATGTAATAATATTACCCGAAATCCTGTTGGTAACAAGTTATATTATTTTGTTACTGCTATAACGTAATACAATACTGTAACGCTACCCCCAACACTGTTCATGTAGTTCATGTAGAATAAGCAGATCATTTTGTCATAGATTGCTTCTAACTATTTTAGAAAAGAAAGGAAAAGAAAAGAAAGAAAAGAAAAGACAATCATGATGGAGATGGGTTTGCATTTTTAGGCCATATAGCCTATAGTAAATGGCACCATTTTTAAATTAATATGAGTTCCTCTTTGAACACGTGTAGTTCTGAGGTGACAATCTGAATCATATGCAAGCCCCCCACCCCCCACCTCATGGGTCCAAGTACAATCTCACTGCCTGCGCTGTCTGTTTTTACGCCCCTGTACTGGATGTAGTTGTGTGAGACTCTGTAAACGGATGTTGTTGAATTTTCTCCGTTTTTGGATTCTGCGTTCCTAGTGAAGACATGCAAAAAAAAATTTCAAGATATACAAATGATGATTTTTTTGGGTGACGCGCTCCTTTAAAACACCAGTCTTTGAATCTGCATTACAGTGTAGCCTCCTGTCCAGCAGGTGACGCTACAAACCACCAGTGTCTCTGAACATTGACAGCACGCGGGTAAGCCAATCAGACGCCGAGAATGGCAGAACAGGGCGGGTCATGCCGCAGCCGGTATGCCTCTACTTCCGGGTCAGTGGATGTAAACAGAAGGACGTTCCGCCTCTGGAGACGGCGTTAGAAAACATGACCAAACTTGAGCTGCTGAACGTGTTTCTGAACGACAGGCTCACCGCGGCCGCTGAGGAGATTTTCCGCGCCGTTAAAAACACGGTGTTGGAGTATCAGAGCGAAATCCTGCGTTCCAAAGAGGAGAACGAGCGACTCAAACGGCTCCTCAATGTAGCCGTTCAACGGCTCCTACTGCAGCCAGGTGAGGAGCAGCTGCTGCCAGTCATTGGTACGATGTGTTTACTGAAAGACTGAATGTCACACCAAACAGGTCCCGTTTTTAACGGCGCTACGGTAATGGGTAAAACTGTGTTGTAGCTAAAAGTAGGATGCTCTGCCTCTGTCGTACCTCAGCCTGCTACATCTCATTTTATTGAATGGAAACTGACATAACAACAGCAGGAAAATACGTGGTACAACAGCTACATCATTGTATTAATCCCTTCAAAACCAGCATTTTTACTCTGTCCACGCTGAATGCAGGGGCTTGATGATCATATCTGAAGCTATGGAAATGTTTAGGTACAGCTGTGATTTGATATAAATTCTCTCCATACAGGCCAGATGGTATTGTGAAACATCAAAACTAGATTACAAGTGATAATACAGATTTATTAATTGAAAGTTTGGCTTTGTGAATACAATATTTCGGTAATAGAACCAATATATAAACAAGGTAGGCTAGATTTCAAGTTATGTACATTATGATGATCATGTTGTCAATAACAAATCTGGAGATGATTAGCCACAGTGTTTGTCTGTATAGAGAGAGCCATGTTTCAGTATGGACTTTACAGAAGCAACATTTGCATAGATATTCAGTTTTAATATATTAGTGATCTTGTGAGATAGTTTTGTCATGTTATGGGTGATTAAAGAAATGTCTGGTAGTATCCATATTTCTCAAATCAACCAATTTTCTTCCCACCCCATTCCAGAATAAAGTAACATATGGGGAAAAAGTTAACCACAATTTAAATTTTCTTGTCTTGTGTTTCTTTTTCTTTTTTGACTACTTCCAGATGAATATTTTGAGTTTTTGTATTATTTTGTGTTTCTGTTGTTTACTGCTGCCCCGATAACAGGGCCAATACAAAGTTCTATCAGAAACAAACAACACAAAGTCAAGTTCATCCTGAAAACAACTCTTGTAATTGTCATCAGTGTAATGTAACATTTAAAGCTCTTTTTGTGCTCTTTATAGTGGAACTATCTACAGGCACATCAGATCAATATGAAGTTAATCATAAAGTCATTTGTAGAGGCATTCAGACTTTTCCATATTTCAGCTTTAGAGGTCAAAGGTCAAGTTCTGTTGTCCTCCTCAGTATCGTGATAATGTGTCTAGAAGATAGATTAGTCTTTGCTTGACAATGATATATGACTTCATGATTTTCTATGAAGGTTGCCCTCTGTAATACTGATTCTATGAAAAAATGTGGAAAATAATCATGAAAAAAAATCATTTTTGAAGTTACCACTGCTGCAATGCTCTGTTAATATAAGGGCTAATACAGGACATGCTGGAAGAATGATGGGCCTTTATCTTCTGTGATTCATCTCTCATCATAAAAAAAAACCCAAAAACAAAACAGTTTTAGACTTGAACACTGACCCCTAACCCTTAGAGTCACAAAACATTGAACAAATGTTGCATTGTTTGTCATTTTGTTTTTGCAGAACAATATTCAGGCATTGTAATAAACAACTTTATACTTTATTATACACTTGTGGCTATTAAAAAGAAACCCATTGTCCCCATATGAGGACATCATTTTGTTCAAAAACTACTTACTGTTTAAAGACACTGCTTAGTTTTTTTTATACTTATATATAGGTCTTACTAATCCCACTCAAATTAGCATGCGTACGCAGGATTTTTCAACACGGGTTAGTCTGCTAAAAATAGGTGATAGACTCCCTCCAATTGCCAGTAGATCATTGTGTGCACACAGCTCTGCAGTAGACGAGTATGCCTTTGTGTGTGTGTGTGTGTGTGTGTGTGTGTGTGTGTGTGTGTTTTTTCTTTTGGTATGTCACATTCTATCTCACGGACAGGCCAAAGAACACGTCAGCAAAAATGTTACAGTGGTTCTTAAATCTCTCACCCATTCAGTTTCTCTTCCAAACTCGGTCCAGACTAATTTGGATTGATGTTTGAGCTCTGCTTGGGTAGAGTCTCATGGTATTTTGTTGTGGCGTGTCATGGCATTTCGCCGGTAAAGAAGCTAAAATTAGCACATTCACCTGGGTGTTGTGTTTCCATTAATGCTAATCAGAGCTGGAGGTGATAAATACCTGTGACTACAGCAGAGTCATTTGACCGGGGGCATGAACACCAATTAAAACCTTTTCCATTGCATTAAAAAGCCAGATGTTAGTGGGTGTTAGTGGGTTTTTTGTGCAGTGGGAAAAGGGCTTTATGAATAGATTCTAATTCTGTGGGAAACACTGAAATATAAGGTCCGAATCCATTACAGCGCTACAACTTTAATGCAATTTTAACTTGCCCCACCAATGTAGTTGCAAAAATACGGGTTTAAACCTTGCAACATGCATCACAGTTTTTTAGAAAAGCTGCCTTGATATCAGGCATTTCAGGTTGCAACAATTCCATAATGCCTGCAAAATCCTGGAGGGACTGATCCATCTGTTGAAGGAACTTGTTGGATTTCCAGTTCATTAGAATTAGTCTGTGTGCTATGAGGCTACTAATGCTGTTGCGTCTTTTGCACATTTGTTGCATGAGTTTCCACAGGTGTTACTCTAAAGGTGGTGGTGAGAGAGTTAGGTTCAAGATGTGTATTACACAGAGCTGAAAGGCAGTCGAATAAGGAGGACCAGAAATTGGCCCTTTTCAGCTCTTCTTCTTCATTGACTTAGCTGTGAGCTGCTATCAGTTACTTTTTAAATCACATGCATTACACGTCAAAATGTCACAGCTGTGTTGCCCATTATGTCGTCCTGCAGACATGGTTTCGGCGCTGTTGCTACATCTGTTCCCAGCTCAAATGCTAGACCACTCTGTTCCCCCATTCTGTGTTTGCACCTTCCAGAATGGCAAGGTGGCAGGATGGCACAATATTCCCACCTTGAATTGGCAGTGTAAAAGGGGCTGTTGACTAGGGAGGGACAAGACCAGAACATGTGACCTATCAAAACTGGGTTACTGCTCCGATCAGTTTATCTCAAGCTAAAAAAATTTCATGCAGTCTGATTTCTGATTTCAAGGTTAACTGTGCAGATTTTTGAATGGTGTTTAGTTGAAACAAAGTGACAAAAAACCTATTAAAATAGGAGCTTTAGTGTATGGCAGTGGTATATCAAAAATACCTTTGGATATCCCTGCTAAACATACAGCAATACAATCTTTTATGCAAATACACCTAGCATGACTGTTATGTTTGTAATGTTTCAGAATCTCACTCTGTCCAGCCGCAGGAAGATGGTCAGCCCTGGGAGTCTGAGTGGAGAAGCAGTGCGGAGCTGCTGCCACAAATTAAAGAAGAACCAAAACTCCAAAACATTCAGACAGATAGTTCACAAGAAGCAAGCGACTCAGAGGAAGGAAACAGTAGTCATGTTGAGCCACTACAGAGGTCACATCCTCCAGCAGCGCAAACTACATTTAGCAGACAGAGCGTCTCCCCTCCTCCACTAACATCCCAGGAGATTAAGGCAGAGAGTGACAGCAGGAAACAGCAACCAGCCAACAGCTTACCATCCTCAATGACTGTTCATTCAAACTGCAGAGCGCCACAGAGCGATTCTCGTGCCGGCAGTGCAAAGAGTCACAGGACTCAGAAAGCAGACCAGCAGGTGAAAGGGTTGCTTCGCTCAAATGGAAAACAGAGCTCACACATACTGCAGATCAAGAATGTGAGATCCCTGAGGCCGCCCCCGCCTCGCTCCTCTCACCCAAGCCAGAGCATTCAGAGGTGGCACAGCTGCAAAGAATGCGGGAAGGGCTTCAGCTTCGCTTGCCAGCTGGAGGTCCACATGCGCTGGCACACCAAGGAGAAGCCGTACAGCTGTGCAGTGTGCCGAAAGAGCTTCACCACGGTCAGTATGCTGAAGAGGCACCACCGAATCCACACGGGGGAAAAGCCCTTCCGTTGCCATGTGTGTGGGAAATGCTTCAACCAGTCAGCACACCTCAACACCCACTTCAGGCTGCACACCAGAGAGAGGGCCAGCTGGAGCCGAGCGCAGCACTCCAAGTGAACAAAGACTCACAACAGAAAACTAACCAGACATCTGTAAACGTGAACATGCTTTAACTGGCCAAATTTCAGGTTCAAACAGTGTACAATTATAGTGTTTGACTGTGTGTCTTGTCTGTTGTGCAATAAAGTGTGGTCCATTATGATTTCTGATGCACTGGCTGTGTTGTTGAACACGCATAGGTAATAGAAGGACTATTTAATCCTATTTAAGGTGTGCAGACATGGGTTCAGTGGTAGCCACAACTGTACAGGATTCCAACAAGGCAAGCAACATGGGCAGAGAGACAGACAGGTTACAGGTTGTATAGAAATGGAAATGAAAGCAGAAGCACCCAACATGTCAGTTATATGTGCAATTTACACTGATCAGCCAAAACATTAAAACCACTGACAGATGAAGCAAATAACATTGAACATGTTGTTACAATCCAATGTTCTGCTGGGCAACTTTTGGTCCTGGCATTTATGTGGATGCCACTTGACATGCACCACCCCCCCAGCAAAACAATGCTGCATGCTTCACTGCTAAACTGTTCAGAAATGCCTCAAAGAACATGACAAAGAGCTCAAGAAATTGACCTGGCTTCACAATTCACCATTTGTGGGACGTGTTGGAATCGCAGAGGTACCCCTGATCCATGGTGGGGCCTCTTTGCATCAGACTTCGCTCTGACCTGTGGAGGCATGAACACAGGACCTCTGGGGGTCTGTCCTGTGGTGTCTGGCACCAGAGCATTGGCAGCAGATCCTTTGAGTCCTGTGGGTTAAGAAATGGAGTACCAGTACGTCCCAAGGACGCACCAATGGATTGGGATCTTGGGAATTTGAAGGCCAGGTCAATGCCTTGAGCTCCTTGCCACGTTCATTGGGCCCTTCTGGAATAGTTTTTGCAGTGTGGCATGGCGCATTGTCCTGCTGGGTGGCACTGCCCTGTCGGGGGTGCAGTTGCTATGAGGAAGAGGTACTTGGTGCACAACAGTGTTTTGATGGGTGGAACGCATCAAGTGGCATCCACATGAATGTCAGGACCTGAGGTTTCCCATCAGGATATTGCAGTGTAATGAGATGATGGATGTTATTCACTTCACCCACTAGTGGTTTGAATGTTTTGGCTGTTTGATGTATAACTGCAGTGTAAAACTGCACATGACTGGCGAGGACAGGAGCCCTCACTGGCTTCCCACCCACAAAAAATTATAACAGACCTGTCTCACAGCAGACAGTAGTGACTGGCACAGGTGTAACTAATAACGGTAATAATTACTCTGTTCTCCTGCCTGTAGTGCAGTTTATCAGTCTAAAAGTCTGTTTTGGTATGAGTTACGTATCGGCTGTAGAGATGTCTAACTTCTCTCCAGTATAATGGAATAAGATAGCACTTGGCTAGTGGTGAACACAGAGCCAAAATAAATAAACGGAGAATTCAACAGCAGTGTCTGTTTCCAGAAATCATGACCTGGTTACTCAAGAAAATCCACAGACCTTGATGTGAACAGCTTCATGAAGGATCTATTTTCTTTCTACTGAACTACACCTGCCAACTGTATCACTGTAGAGAAGACAGCGTGCATCTACTCATGGACGAGAGGCTTGTGCTCATGAGAGCATATCTAAACATTAATGGTGTTCTCCTTGGCTAAGCTGTAATGTTAGCTAGCTACACCCAGTTGGCAGGTGTAGTTCAGTTGAAAGAAATTAGCTCTTACATGTGCTTATCTTGAGTGAGCTGGTCATTTCTGGAAATACACACTGCTGTTGAGTTATCCATTATATTGGAGGGGAGGTAGTGTTCTCTACGGTCGATATCTCAAACACCTGGCAACTCACGCCAAAACAATCTAGACTAATAGATAGCACTTTTGGTAAGAGAAAAATAATGTATTTTTGATTTTGGGTTGAACTATCCCTTTAAGGTGTCCCAGTAATAATGACAGTGAGTCAGCATCACAATTCCAGAGCTGGACAGGTCAATCTAAATGGAAAACAGTCATTATATTTGTATTAGTCTTAGCAAGTTAACATATCAGCTGTTACTGCAAGAAAGGTCTCTTGGGTTTATTTGCACCATCAAGGCAGAAGCACTACTATCAGGATTTCTATTGGCCAGATTCTAACTTGGAGAAATATAACAAAAGTAAAAAAAGGACAGGAGCTGTATGTGCAGATGTTTTCAGTTCTACATGAGGTTTAAGAACAGAGATGAGTGCTTATAACTTGGGAATTTTCAAGTTGTTAAATATTGAATATTAAAAGTGGTAGTAGTAAAAAAAAAATCTGAGCTCCTGATTTACCACTTGGCTGTAGGCCTAACCAGCTGTAAAAACATTGCGATGACTGCTTCTGTTTTCACCTCGTGAGTCTGTGTGTGTGTCGTTATGGAAACACATGGTCCTGGTGGCGCCTACTGTAGTGGGAACTACTGCTGAAGCCATTTTGAGTACTTTGCCAGATATGTCTTTTGTTTGTTTATCAACCTCATAACATCAAACATTGTTTGTTATTTATTATCACTGTTCGTTAGTTAAGTTGTTTTTTGTGTGTTAATTTGTTATTAGCTCTCGCTGTTCTTTGCAATAAATACAGTAAATATAAAGGTTGGGTTCTCTTAGGGCCCTGAATGTTCTAGGTCAAGTACTGCCTCCAGACAAGTTTTAAAGAATTAAAGGCCTGGAATAATGATTTGTATCTCATGTTTCTTTTCACAAATTCGGTCATTTATCCAGTGAAAAATAATAAATAACACTTACTGCTCCTTTATTAAAAAAAAGAATCTCTGAATATGCAAATACTGTTCATTTGTAGAATGTAAATGGTGGTTATAAGATGTCTTGTACCACTTAAAGGTCCATCCTCAGTGTCTGTGTGCAGGGAGCTTCAAGTTACCACACCACACTTGTGTAAGTTTCACGGTTGGACATTAGCACCAGACAAATGCTGGTAAAATTTGCAAGTGGCTGCGAGATTTGCTTCACTCACAACAAAAACAATGGCAATCTACTGAGTGGCTGGTAGATTTTGGAATCCACCAGCCACAGTGGCAGGTGGATGAAAAGTTGCATACTGGACCACGATTAGCTCCAGCTAGTTGATTTTGTATGTACACATATATAACTTGAGGTCAGCACAGAGACACATTCCCTCTTCAGTAGATGAATGTAAAACAAACTGCTTTCAGGGTCTGCTTTCAAAGTCCCCAGACCCTGGTGCTGACCTGTAGCAAGACACAGTTGGGCGTTTTTTGCGTAGGAATATGGAAGTTGTACTGTTGAGAAAATATAGCACCAAAGGAAGGGCTGTCTGAAGGCAAGGTAAAGTGGTGAAAATATTTTAAATATGGTGTTCACTTAGACTGATATTAGGTAGGCTTTTTTAAGTGGCTAAAATACATTTTGCTGTTAACCTTGATCCACAGCATTGCTGAGGAGTGGCCATCTACTGTATATAATACACTAACTATGGATAAATATCCCCCCTTCAAAAAACCCAAACTATCCCTTTAAGATATGATTTCATTTAATTTAGGTGAGCTAGTTCCAGGGTCCCGATGTGGCTCACTCTCATGGCTCACTGGGACACCTGCTGGAACCGAGTCATTGTCAGTGAAATTAGTTTCAGATCTAAAATGACAGTTAACAAGTCTGCTGTGAAAAGGGTCCAATGTGCACGCTGGCTCACTGACACAACTTACCTAAATGGCACAGTTATTCCACAAGTTTTTCCTGCTATGACATCAAAGTATTTGCTGCGAAAAAGTTTTATGTTCAATTTGCCTTCATTGTTGTTTCTCATGCTTAATTGGTGCCCAGATCATGAAGTGGTGGAAAGATCTATTTCAGTCTTCTATGAGAACAGTATCTGTGTTTTGTAACAAGCTAATATCTGCAGTGTTAATTGTGGCCTGTGGCACAGTACCCAGAGGCTCTGTTTATATGAACTGGTTTCCCGTTGCTCTGCATATCTAATATCAGCTGAATGCTGTGATAAAATAGAGTGACAATAAATAAATGGAGCAGGTCACCTGTGCATTATGTACTCATAGCAACACTGCCATCTGCTGGAGATATACTGGTAGTACCAATTACAAAATGAGGTAACCAATAACTGGAATTTTCTTAGAAAGTGACAACAAATGAACCCTCTCTCTCATAAGATACATTATACAGCACAGAAACCTTTTATAATTTTTCAGAAATTCCTCTGCTTAACTGTTAGAAAAGGTGAAGTCCTCTACACGTGTAACTGTAACTGGAGGTAAATCTTTATTAAAGGGTTAACCCTAATGGGTTAATTCCGATTTTTTGAAGTGGGGTTGTATGTAGTACTTATCCATAGACAGTATATTACATAAAGTGAATGTCAGTCAGCACGCCCCCAGTCTGGAGAAACAGCCTGGAGTCTGATATAGAAGCTAAACAATGTACTGCTTGTGTTGGGGGTCAGCAACAAAACATTTTAGTTACCTAAAAAAATCAATATCAGTTTTAGTGTACACTATATTGAGAGTATTTTCACTGCTTTACCTTAATGTCTGACGATCATTTCCAACAAGAAAATTAAGCTGTTGTATCGCTGTGTTTTAAAGCCAGACTCCAACATGAAAAACTGACTTAACATCCCTGGACACAGGAATTGCTGGTCTGCCACTACCTTGATCAGTTACTGTTATTGTGTGACCTTGGTTTTTCAAAGGGATAGTTTGGATTCACCAAAATCACAGAATAACACAAAGTAACTAACTGATTGAAGCAGCTGTATATCAGCAGCTGAGCTACAATTACTGTTTTTGGAGTGGAGTCTGGTGGCTTTGACAAGAGCAAAGTTTGGGAACTGAAGCTGTTAACAGCTTCCCTGTTGAAAGGGGCTGTCTGACAGAAAGGTAAAGCGCTGAAAATACTCCCAGTAAAGCGTACACTTAAACTGATATTGATTTTTTTTGGGTGGGACTTTTTTATGCAGCTGTAATACATTTTGTTGCAGACCCCTCCACAGCAGTACATTGATTAGTGTCCATGTCAGACTCCAGCCTGTTTCTCCAAACTGGGGGTGTGCTGACTGACACCTACTGTAGATAACACACTGACTATGCATAAGAAGCCCATACAACCCCACTTCAAAAAATCTGAACTATCCCTTTAACTTTTAA